GGTTATCTTACATAAGGGTTTATCACACCAAATGACTAATCTAACACATTTTTTTCTTAATTCTAATAAGTGCCCTCCAATAGCAAAATGGATAAAACCACCAAACACTGGTAGTTAGATGTGGGTTCAGGCATCGTCAATGGACTGGCCACATGGAGTTTTCTGGGTTTTCTTCACATTAGTAACATGTAAATAGGGTCCAGCTTCCCATAAAAGCCTTTCTTGGATGCTCCCCCCTCAGCAGATCCAACAGATTGCTCATGTTTCGCTTTGCCACAACCAAATAAACCAAACTAATTCTAATGAATGATTTAAACAATTCTAATTCTAACAAACAAATGTACTCAATTCTTTTAGTGGTGTCTTACCCCTGTATATCATACTTTTCCTGTTAGCAAAAAAATTCTTTAAATTGTGTACAGTAGAGGTATAAAAAATTTTTTAAATGTGTTAGATTGGTCACTTGGTGTGATAAACCCTTACATAATATAATCTTTATAATTATATAAATCAAATACTATAATATAACAAACATTAAAACAAAAACAATACAGAGTTTGGTTATTTCAGCCTACCATCGTCATGTTTATCATGATACTTGGATGGTACAAAATGGCACAATTTCATTGATCAAGTAGATACCAATTGAAAATGTGATATCTTAAATTTTTTCAGATATCACATTTTTTTCTAAATGATAAGTTTTTTTCTTAATGATAAGTTTAAGAAACTGTACTATTCACAGCTGAATATCAAATGGTCATCCGCCAACCAATCAAATTTTGCGAAAATTGGACCGAATATTTAAATTTGGTACCTTTTTGAGGGTACCTCAAAAACCACTTAAAACATGGTTTTGTGCAGGTTGGTAACCTTGTATTATGTAATTTTGCTATTCAAATGCCACCATACCTCTGGTCTGATAGAAAGAAGAAGGGATTGTTGCAAAAGGGAGTTGAAGTAATTTGACCAAATTTGTCCAAGTCATTGACCTCCTCCCAGAAGAGAGGATGGTCAATGACTAATTAATACTGGTCTACTAATCATATTTGAAAAGTGATCCATATTAGACAGGTTGTGATGGCCTCACATGTGATTGAAGCTAACCTTAACATCCAAAAGACTTCATATGACTTGTTTAAAAAAAAAAAATCTTATAAAAATGCAAGAATAATCACTTTTATGTGATAACAAAGTGTTTAAATTTTGGTAACATATTGTATAAACTATGTGGGAAGTATGCTCTTGTAAATATAGTGCTTATGGAAAAATTATTGAGCTGCAATTTGAAAAAATTGTAAACCTATAAATTCTTGCTGTCGTCAGCCTGTGTGTCTGTCCTTCCTTAATCTCGAGAAAGTTAGATAGATGAAAGTAAACATAGAAAGCTTAGGAGCAGGAGACCCAGATTAACTATATACTAACCTAGAAGGTTGGATTCGAAGTCACATTACTTCAAAATTGATTCAAAATTTCCCTGAACAGAGTTAGATAGATGACCAGCATGACCCTATTGCTAACAGTAAAATTATTACATATAGGGGTAAACACTGCTAAAAGAACATTATGTCAAAAAATTGCAGCCCAGTATTGTGGAAAATGAAATACTTATAGACTTCTCACAGGGTAATACTTTCAATTCCATGCAGGCAAGTGCCATATGCCACCTGCTCAGTCATATAGTGCAAAATAGCTATATCATTGTTGCCAAAATTATTTGCCAATAGATGGTGCTAATTATGTGTAAATCAGCAAATCAAATGTAGATAGAAATTAATTGATTTACAGAAATCCAATAGATATTTTGGGGTGGGATGTACAACATTATCTATGCTAGAAGTATATAAAGCTAACTGCGGAGTTTCGTAGCAATTGGTCAAATGTCCTAAAAGTGTATAACAAACAAACAAACCTCCTCATATATATATATATATACAGTAGAACCCCTCTAGTCCACCCTCGGCTAGTCCGTCGCTCCGGTTAATCCGAGGTTGGAGTCGAGCAACATATACACAATGTAAAACATATACTGTAACAAACACAGAAAATTGCCACAGACGGTGAGTCCGTGGCATTTTTCTGTGTTCGTTACAGTATATGTTTTACATTGTGTGTATGGTACAGTTTTGTGTGTGTTTTCAACATGTCGGGAGTGAAACGTAAACACGTTACTCTTTCATTAAATGAAAAATTAGCGGTGCTACAAAGACTGGACAAAGGGGAAGATTGTTTATTTTACTTTTTTCTGATAATCTGACCTTTTTTGCGTTCCAACCATACCCCCAGTCCCAAAGATGACGGATTAGAGAGGTTCTACTGTATATATAAAATTACTTGTCCTGACAGTGATTCACTGATTCATCATTGCCCAGAGCAAACCGCTAAACCTAAAGATGTGAAATTTTGTACACAGGGTATATCATGAAAACACACTAAGAAGGAATTTTTTGAAATTCCCCCCGTGGGGGGACAGGGAGAGGATTAAGGCTTAACCTGAAGAATGGCTTCTACTGTACTATTTTAGATGCGATTTTTTGTTTTCAACTACGTTTAGTCTTCATTGAGTTCTTAGGTGTATTAAATTGATAACGTTTAGACATTATCTATACTAATATTATAAAGAGGTAATGTTTGTATGTAAGTTTGTATGCAGCAGGTAATCTCCGAAACTACTCATCCGATTTCAAAAATTCTTCCACCAATATTTAGAATGGAACTTCAGGGTGGACATAGGCTGTATATTATTCCATTAAACATTCATATAAATTAAATTATATCATCTAGGGTTAAGGCTTTTATGTCCAACAGATGGTGCTACGAATACGACGCCCTAAGTTTGCTTTTCTGTGAGGCATTATGCTTTTCTGTGAAAATGAACTAAAGTGGATCATCTTCTATCTATTTATATAAATAAAAATGTAATGTTCGTTTGTTCCTACCGATTCCTTTGAAATTTTGACACAACACTGCATTCGAATACGCACGTGTTTTTATATAATATACATGTCGAAATCCCTCCCCGGGAGATAGACGGGATTAAGGCTTACCATAAAGAACTCTGCTTCTATTTATACTATTTTAGATGCGGGTTTTTGTGTTTTTGATTGCATTTTAATAGGGTACATCAAGAGAATGTACACTAAAAAGAAATTTTTCGATATTCCCCCTGCGGAGGAGAGAAACAGGATTAAGGCTTACTGTGAAGAACTTGGCTTCTATTATACTATTTTAGATGCGGGTTTTTGCATTTTTGATTGCGTTTTAATAGGGTACATCAAGAGAATGTACACTAAGAAGAAATTTTTCGATATTCCCCCCGCAGGGGCGAGAAACAGGATTAAGGCTTACCGTGAAGAACTTGGCTTCTATTATACTATTTTAGATGCGGGTTTTTGCGTTTTTGATTGCGTTTTAATAGGGTACGTCAAGAGAATGTACACTAAGAAGAAATTTTTTGAAAAATCCCCCCACGGGGGAAGTGTTATAAATTTATAATAGATACATTTTGAGCCACAGCAACGCGTGGCGGGGTCTGCTAGTTATAAATATTTTTATATATTTCGATTTTTTAACCAAATGTTCGAAACATTTTAAATTTGAATTTGTTATTGCATATTGGTTCGATTATAGAATGATTGTAAATGTTCCAGAAAATTGATCAAATTGAAAACAATTTGTTTGATTCGCAGCAATTCTCATCATTCTCAGCAGTAGGTGTTATATAACAATTACTATGGTTGTTGAAATACTGAATATAAATGGGGTTTGCTTGCAAAACCCCTGTGGGCAAAGTCGTGGATAACAGCTAGTATATATAGATAAAAGATAGTATATAGATAAAAGATGTTTAACCATTTTTATGCATCTTATTCCAGCTTAAACTTAAAGCACTGATTTTCTTCTGGTAGCAACTAAATTTTTGTTGTGAATTATTTCTGGATTATTAAATTACAAAAATTATGTACTACATGAATCTGTCTTTTCAGAATCTTCAGGTTGAGTCAACCCAAAGATTCTGAAAAGGCAGATCAATGCACATAATTTTTTATGTCCTTTAATTTAATAATCCAGATGGGAAAATAAACAAATTTTTAAGAAAGTTATCACTGTTTTTAGAAAACTTACTTCAGAGATGTCTTGTCAATTTAAGAAATGCTCTGTACTGAAGAGGAAAAGAAAATTCCCATAAAGTATCTATGGCATTAATGAAATAAAGATGATCTCACAAGGCAAGCATTAGTGCATATTAATGTTCCTTCCCTAAAGAAATAATTCACAACATAGAAATTACAATCCAGTTTCAAAGTGCAAACATTCTAAACTGTTTTTCAATAAACTCAGCCACCCACGGCTTCATAAAACACCAAAAATTTCTCGTCAATCAAATAAGTAGTTTTGGCCAGTTACAGACCGTGCCAAATAGGCAAACTTATTTTATACATAACCTGTATTTGTGAATTTGGTTAGCTACTACAGTCGACCCCCCTATACTTACGATTCCTATAAAACTACGAAAAAATATACGTATTTTGGAAATGCTGAGTCGGATTAGTGTAGAATTGATTAATTTTATGGAAGAAAACCTTTCAATCAACCGTAGTCCGTAAACTTGACACGTGTCAGGCTTGTAAGAAATCGGATTCCTAATAAATTGGAACGTATCTATATCTTATAGGGGGTCGACTGTACTTTGAACTGTTAACATAAATATTTCATACTTATTATATTTTATAAGCACTTAAATTTAAGCTACATTGAAAAATCATTCCAAACAAGGTTTAAAATTATAATATAGTCTGAAAATAATACATAAATTAATCAAAAATATTTTTAAATTAATATAAAACTATTCTCACATAGATTTTAGTTGATATTTTTAGCCAAGTTTTTAATATGTATGTAGATTTCCATACAGGAATGAAAATCTTATAATTGTGATTTTAAGTAATTATAGATGATGGAATATAATTTCAATATAACAAGACCGTCAATATAATTACCCTATTGGCGGCAGAAATCTTGACAATCAAATCTACAGCTTCTTTTACATAGTATCTACCGTCTCCTCCAACAACTAGAGTACATCCAGTTAATTTATCTCCCATAGCAGAAAGTGTAGCCTGCACGAAATTCTCCGTGTAGTTCTGTTTTTTAAATACATTGACTTTTTTCCTTAAACCGCTCGTTCCCGGCTTCTGATCGTCGTAGGGAGTAGTAGCTACCGTAACCGACTTCATCTTTCACCTTTCTGTACTTAAAAAAGCTAGCAAAGAGCGATTGCCCTTGTTGTGAAGGTCAGCTATCTCTGCATCTCCTTTACATCTGCCCCTCGAATCGTAAGACGCCCTCTTCTGAATAAATCGATAAACAGCATCAGTTTTTTTCAATTCGGACTCTTCTAAAATTAAATATTTCTAATGTATCTAATTAATACACAAAAATTGTTTATATTCATAAATTTAACGCATAATAAAGAGCAATTGTCTCCGACTGTCTCATATATAAAATTAATATATAATATATAAATACATTCTCCGTTCTTAAAATTCTAAAAACAAACTTAATAGCGTATGGATTCTATGTAAGCCGAAATTTTAATGGCAATTTCCTTTGAATAGATTCTATCAACGTTTGATAAATAGTTTTATTTGATTTGGATTTTTTTTCTTGATGAAAGTCACTCTCGGCGCCATTATAGATTCATCAGGAATAAAATGTCGACGAAAATTTATTTTCTAAAATATTTATATTCGATAATAAAATGAATATGAAATCAGATGCGGATTATGCTATGAGCATATTTAACACTTTTTATTACTTTCCCGGCTGTTATACAGAGATAAAGTATGGCGATCCAGCCAATGACCTCCCCGCATTTTTACATTTTTGAACTTAGGACACCTTGAAACGTCGAGAAATGCAAAAAAATTTCGGAGGTAATCAGTGGCGTAGCGAACATAACTGGCGCTGGGGCATGACACTTTATTGGCGCCCTCCCCTCCAGAAACACATATAGTAATATAATACAGTGGTACCTCAAGATACGAACGCCCCAGCATACGAAATTTTCAGGATACGACATGAAAATCGAACATATTTTTGCTCCACGATACGAACAAAAACTCACCATACGAAGTTACATTAGTTCTCAGCGCCATTTTTTATTCACTTCTGTTCATTGGTCTCAGTCCGCGTGTTTGCTTTGTCGTGGAAGGATCTCGCTAGATAAAGGAAATCTCGAGGTATTATCAAAAAGTGACTGATTTTATTGAAAAGAAACATCCCGAAAAGGTTCACACTGGCCGTATTGCTGCTCGGAGTAATGACATTTGCCTAAGTCATTTTAAAAACATTTTAAAAAGTAGGCAAAGCTAAACCTCTTTGGATAGATACGTGTGTTTTACCAAGCAACCTCTATCCAGTGAAAGTGCTGATGGAAGTGAAGGAAAGAAAGCAAAAAGCAGTGAATAAAAAAATTTAAAAAAATATGAAACAGAAAATATTAAAAAATTAGTGTTAAATTATTTTTAAGTTATTGTTACATTATGTTATGTAAGTTAAGTTTTAGTATCATTTCCCTTCTCCCTCTCTTCCGCCACCAGTTTACACCTCCACCGTCGTCTATCCTCAGAGGTAAAGTTCAAATAAAACTACATTTTTTTAATCAATTATTATTCTATTATGGTTATTTATACATTTACAACTACAAAACGCATTTTCGGTGTTTTCCTTACTATAGTTAATTTTTTAATGTACTACTTAGCTTTAATTTGAGTGTATTTTTCGTGTTGGAACGAATTATTTGGTTTTACATGTAATCGTATGGGGAAAAATGATTCACCTTACGATATTTTCATGATACGATCTCAGTTTCGGAACGGATCAATTTCGTATCCTGAGGTACCACTTTATATAGAATTTACTCGTAATAAGAATATAATACAAATAATAATAGAATGTAGTACCTACCTTAAAATATCTATAAATCTTGTCTGTCATGGAGACCATTTGGCACTGGCGTAGCGAACATAACTGGCGCCCCTCCCCTCTCCCTTTCCGTTTTATATGAATTCCATGTTGTACGAGTCACTTAGATTTTACAAATACGTGTGCCGGGCTGTGAACGGCTCACGTATTTGTAAAATCTAAGTAACTCGTACAACACGGAATTCAAATAAAACGGAATTATCAACCGTGTTATAGGGGGGTCGACTTGTATTGTACAAACTAATTTACAAAACATGATAGAATTAAAATCTGTTAATGAAATATTTGCGCGGTGTGCGGTTTTTCTATAAAATTTCGGTAATAAAAGATAATAGAGAGGTTGCGGCCGAAGTTTTCATCTCTCAAACGTGAACGCCGAACGTCGAACGCCGCAATCTTATAAGCGGTGCTCGACGTTTGCTGTTCACGTTTGAGAGATGAAAACTTCGGCCGCAACCTCTCTAATGCACTAATCATCATGTCGTGTAACTGTAGCTATTTAAAGACCCGGCGCGGCGGGCCGCTCATCACATGATGTTCGACATGTTTCGGTTTTGCAGTAAGTCACGGCGGAAGTTTTTTACTGCGTGACTACAAGACAAAAAGAGAAAAAAATAATTTAAAAAAACCCGTAATGAATTACGTCAAAAATATTCATAATGGTTTATGCATTCATATTTATAATTCGGATATCTGATAAAATTTAGTCACCTGTGGTTTTCTTTTAATACAGAACAAGTAAAAAATAATTATTACTTTTAAATTACTATAAATAAACATTTCATGTAAACATTTTTATATTTTAATATAAATTACGGAAAAATTTTTGGAAATTTGGAGAGCGAAGCGCACCTTAGCGGTCACAATGTAAACTACAGTGTTTGTATTTGATTTGTGTAGGAGAAGTGCGTTTTAAATTTATTACTGAAAAGTCTATTTATCTATAGTCATTAAATTAACGTTTTGTAACATCTTAGATAGATAATCGTGTTAATAGCATGTGAAGACGCATTAAATGTATTTGAGAATTGAAAGTATCGAAGAATAAGATCGTATTAATCATGTCTTCCACGGGTGCTCTCAGTAGTGACAGTTCTCAAGATGCTGCTGCTGCTGTTTCTGCTTCCATTTCTGGTAATTCATATTTAATTCAAAATCCAAACTCAAAAATTTAATATTGTCTACTTGCTTTTATTCAATTTCTTTCATTCTTGTTTATTACGTTAATATATATCAAAATTGGATAGGAGTTACTTTTAATTAATTCGTACCTATATAAATATATAGGTGTTGACTTAAAAGTAACTTCCGTTCAAAATTGATCTGCTTTTTGTTGTTTAGGTTTCCAATGTTTATATCAACAAAGAATATTGAATAAATTACATTTGAACTATTAAGTTATTTCAAAATTTCTGAATATCTGATGCTTCCATTATACTGTACAGCCATAATATTTTTTACTAGATATTATTAGATTTATGTAAAATTGGAAATATATATTAAAGGAGTTAATTTTAATTCATGGTAACGTGACTTTGCTAACAGAGAAATCATCGTTCAAATTTTCCATGTGCTTTATATAGCAGTTCTATAAATCAAGTCGAGTAGGCACGAATAAGTGAGTGAGACGCCAGAATGAAAAGCTTGACATTGTAGGTTTGTCCTGTTTTTTTTATCCACAATTTTTCTGAAGTGTGCAAACCAATGAATTATTAGAAAACTAGCAGATAAGCCCCACGTTGCTCGGGCAAAAAGTAACGATAGCGAAGATTAAGATAATTACATTATAGCCAATCTTATCTGTTTTCACAGAATGCAAGAATTAGGTCCTCCGTTTCCAGACTAATTAGAGAATTTTTACATGGGTCTAAAAATATGTTCGATTTCCCGCAAAAATGCAAAAAAACCGCATGTGCAACTGTAAATCTTGCACATTGCTTTCTCTTAACACTTCCATTGTTGACACTTCCATTGTTACTTAACACTTTCATTGTTAATACTTCCATTGTTACTTACACTTCCATTCTTGAAGCCTTAATCCTGTCCCTCTCCCCCGTGGGAAGAATTTCGAAAAATTCCTTCTTAGTGTGCATTCTCATGACATACTCTGTGTACCAAATTTCAGCTTTCAACTCCTAACTGTTTGGGCTCTGCACTTATTATTATTATCAACCCGTCTCAATTATATATATATAGATACATTTGGCCCAAAAATACTATTTTATGCAGTAATTACTAAATCATATATATATTTTTTAAACAACAACAGTAGGAAAAGTATTGATTTATTATTAAAAGTTATTAATAGCAACTTTAGAAAGTCTTTTTTCTTTTCTTTTTTTTTCTTTTTTTTGAAAAAGTTTTCAAAAGTTTATTATTTAATACAGAATTCAAAAATATAAAATAATCAGGTGGTTCTGCTTGATATTTTGAAGTTGGCCCTGCCTTACCAAGGCTTTATTTTTGTGGCATTTTTATTTTATCAATTTTTTATTATAAACATATTTTCTGATTTAAAGATGTGTAACACCTTACACAGAACACTCTATGAAATAAAACCATCAAATCAGCCTACATTTAGAAATATTCACTGAGAATAACTGGATACATTGAAATAAACTTTCTAGCAGACTTGAAGAGGCATACAAGGAGTATATGCTGTGAGTGAATATAAGTAAAACTAAAGTAACTGAACACAAAGATAAACAAATGGATTACATGATGAATGAGTTTTTATATTTGGGAAGCATGGTAGATACAAATGGAAGTATCGATAGACAGTGAAATCATCAGAAGAGTGAATGCTGGAGCACATATGGTGGGTGCAATGAGTAGATTTGCAAGGTATACATACATACATACATACATACATACATACATACATACATACATAAGGTGTTTAGCCAGTGGAAAAGAGGGAAAGGGTGAGAGGAGATACACAGTAGAGAAAGGTAGGATCCCTCTGAATGGCGTACACTCTACATTTGTTGTTGGCATGCAGTTTTTAGGCTGCAAGGTCGTAGTCCCCCGAAGAGTCTAAAAGAAAACCTGAGTATAACGAACACCAATAATTGAATGCCACCACGAATAGCTAAGTGTAGAAGTTAGTGCCAAGTGACTGTTAGTGGGAAGACTTATATCTACTTAATACTCATAAAACTGAATCTGAGCACGAATCTCAATACTATTAACAGCTAGACAGACAGTGTGAAAACAAACGTATATAGTTTGTTGTGTGAGAACACAACAACAAATTATATAAAATGAACAGACCGACAGAAGACAAGCTAGCAAGACCCCAAATTTTTTTTTTAACAATAACTTACTCACTAACTGAACTAACCTAACATAACCTAGGAAGAACATAACCAGATGACTAATGTTAACAACCCTAGTCTAATTTAATCTAACCAGAAACCAAGGTAAGAGTTCCTAATCTAACTTACAACTAATACTAACTTAAACTAACTGAATTTAAATGAAAAGAAGACGAAAAATAAGAATTAAAATACAAAGTTGAAAGGCAGCTATATACTGACAGTTGAAACAAAGCAAGGGAAAGCTAATTGCCATCCATGCCCCAGTATGTGCTTTAAAGCAGTGGTCCCCAACCTTTTTATCGCCGCGGACCAGTCAACGTTTGATATTTTACCATGGCCCACTGAGGGGGGACATTGATTGTTTATATTTTAGATTGATTTAATTTAAAATTTTAATTTAATTGTATTTAAACATGCCTTCAAAATAAAATACAGTTACACCAAAAAATGAATATAATGTGATTTAACATTTTAACTCACTAGAACGCTAAATCAATGAGAATCCTGAGCTTGTTTCNTTTGTTTTTACATTTATTAATATATCTGTTTTGTTTGTGCAAAACAAAAAATAATTTCAGACAATACAATAGCCACGATTATTTTTTTAAAACATAAAATTTTCATTAGGCTTAACATCAACAAAAATTCAACATGGCAGCCAGACACAATGGAGAAAAATTTCAACATGGGATAGGTTTAATAAGTAGTTTTGAGAAGTGTAAAATACTTAGGCTTTAGAATATATTAGCTAAGAATACAAAATTAGTTTGAATATCTTTATTTTAGATTTTTAAATTTCAAATTTTCTAAATATCATTAGGAATATAAAATAAGCAAGAAGGAAAATAATTTATAATTGAATTTTCTATTAAAAACTTAAAATTTTTTACATATTCTGATATATAATTAATTTTGTTATAAACTAAAATTATTATTCAACTTCAGAATTCACAGTCAGTAGTCACGAAAGATTTAGGCCGATGGAAACCTGCAGATGATCTTGCCCTGATTTTTGCAGTACAACAGGTAAAATGTTATCAAAATTTAATATTGGAAAGAAAAACTATTTAGTTCTAATTATTGTAAAAATTTTATGATTATAGATAAATGATCTAGAATCTGTATATCGGGGTGTTAAATTCTCATGTAAATTTACCCTTCAAGAAGTTCAAGAACGATGGTATGCCTTGCTTTATGATCCTGTGATATCAAAGTGAGTATCTTTATCTTTATTGAAATAAATAAATTTATATCAGTTTTATAATAAAAATATTTTCCTTTTAGAGTTGCAGTTAATGCAATGAAACAATTGCATCCTGATATAATTGCTCAAGTTCAGGCAAAAACACTTTTTGGTCAAGAAGAAGAAAATTTACTTAGTACAATTCCATCAGTGAGTTTTAATAAGAAAATTTTGTAAATTATATAAGGTATATGTTTATATATTTTGAAATACAAAATAAATTTTTATATTAGACAAGTCAACCAACAATAGAAACATTTCAAGAATTAATGAATCAACAACCAGATGTATTTCTTCCTTCCCGAACAGCTAAATCTTTATTCACTCATTGGAATCTTATGAAGCAGTATCATTTATTACCAGATCAGACAGGTAAAGAAATATTTTTTTTGAAAAATTTCTCATTTTTAATAGTAAATAATTTTTTTTATTCTTTCAGTTCAGCCTCTTCCAAAAGGCGATCATGTTCTTAATTTTTCTGATGCAGAAGATATGATAGATGATAATGAATTAATGTAAGTTTATTTTTTCTCAATAAATTTTGTTGTTAATAAACTAACTGTATTTTTAGATTTTTTATAAATTCCAAACTTGGAAAATAAGAGTATTTCATTTAAAAAGTTTTTGGAATTTAAATTTAATTACTAATAGATTAATAAGTAAAAGAATTTGATACTAAAGAATTTTGCAATGTAAATTCATTGTTATCTAAAATAATTTCAATATAAAAATACATTTTAAGAATGAATGAATCAGTGACCAGAATATATTAAATTCTTTTGCTTTACATCAGTTATATTTATTCTTAACTCTTGTGTTTATATCTTGGTATGTTGATCCAGTATAATCAGAGGAATCACTTTAGTCTTAATTCTAATTCTTTACATTTATGGTTCTTTAATTAGGTTGCAATTTTTTCAAATTGCAATCCAATTAGCTATAAATTTTTTGTCCATTCATCTGTCTTTCCTTAACGTTGAGAACAAAGTTAGATAGACGAAAGACAAGATCAGATATGGAAACCTTAGGGGCAAGAGGGCTCAATTAACTATATATAAACATTTGATACAACCAGAAGTTATGTTGTTTCAATTCAAAAATTTTTTTCCAAACAGTGTTAGCTAGATGACTAGTACAACTATGTTGTTAAAAGAAAAGTATGATGTACAGGGGTAAGACACTACAGTACTAATTTGAGATGGAGATTATAGTGATATCGGACCCACTTGCTTCCCCCAAGTCTGATTTGTGTTATATATACATATGTTACTCTACAGTATATATTTTGTCATATTTATATTTATATGTTAATTTATTTATTGTTCTAAGAATGCTGAAGTTTAAATTTTAAACAAAAAAAGAATGTTATGAAAGAAAGAGATTTGGAATGCCGGAACGCATGAGGAGAATTCGAATGCTGGAAAGTTTAAGGGAAGGTTCGTTATTTTTTTTTTTTTGGNCTGACATTTCAGAAAGATATTTAGCTGTTATTAATTGAAGTTTGTTCATTTTATACATTTGAAAGAATATAGAATTTTAATCAAAAGACTCAGAGAATTGGGGTGTTAATTTATAGCAAAACACATCACATTTGTCTCACATAGTACAGAAATATTTCATGAGACTGACGAAGAGGAGACATTCTTGGACAACATTATCTTCAGTGATGAGTCGACATTTCATCACATTGGTAAAGTAAACACTTGTAACTGCAGGATTTGGGGCTTAAAAAATCCATAAGTAACTGTCGAACATGTTTATGACAGTGCAAAAGTAAACATGTTTTGTGCTCTTAGCAAAGATAACATACAGAACCTTTGTTTTATCAGCAGTAACATTTATCTGAATTTGTTGGAAAATTTTTTCATTTTACAATTAAATAACAATGACACACAGATGCATGCATTTTCAACAAGATTGCACATCATTCCACTACTGTTCAGATGTCCAGAATTTTGCTCAATAAATGTTTATCAGATGGTGGATTGGTCAAGTAAGGTTGATAACATGGCTATCTTAAAATTTTGTATGCTTTCAAAGTTGTAAAGTTTTTTGAATTTTCCTGTACTGTACAGATATCTAAAATTACTATACAATAAATGTATATTTGAAATCAATTGTAAATCTATACAAGTAAAGATGTTTTATTCATTAAGATAAAAGATTTCTGTTAAAAAATATTAATTTAAATAATTTTATTATTATGATTAATTATAAGAAATCTTTTATCTATGGTTCAAACATTTTTTTGTATGCTTAAGGAAACAATGATGTTGTTGTTATTGTTATTTTTTAAATCTAGATGATACATCAAATTCTGTTGTTTTAAAACAAGTTCATTCTTCACTCTCAAAAGGCTGTCCCATACCAAGTAGTTCTCTGACATGTGGAATGGAAGATATGATGGCTGATATTCCATCAAAAATTGACTCTTTTCAAAAGAGGAGGAGTTCTTCCAGATCAATTAAACGTAAAAAATTTGATGATGAAGTTGTTGAGAGTAGTCTTGTCAAATCTTCCAGAAATCGTCCACCTTCAGGTTCATTAATTGGTATTGGTGGTTCTAGTTTTAATACAACAACATTATCAACGATAATGAACACAGGTTGCTCTGAACAGATATTTTCAGAAATGCCTCAAGTCACAATTCCTGAAAAAAAGAAAGTAAGTCCTTTATTTATTTTGTTTACTTAGTGAAATAAATAAAAACTTTAAATTTTTTATTTTTAACAGCCATCTAAATCAACTCCAAAAAGAATAAAGAAATCAAAGGTAACATTTTTTATAAATATTTATTGTGTATAACTTACTATTTCAAAAGTAATATTTTTTTAATCATTTTATTAACAATCCATATGTTGTACTTATTGTATAACATTTAAATTTCAACAAAAAGTTTTATTTTGATGATTATGAGCGATACAAGTAAGTGATAATTACTGTATACTCTATGCAAAATAAAAATCTGCCTATACAGATGAATCGTTTAGGCATATTCAAACTTAAAAAAATTAGTAGAAGATAAAATTAAATAAAGATTTGATGAATATAGATAATATACAGAGAAAATATGTTGAAAAAGTTAAGAATAAAAACAAAAGTGCTTTAAGTGCAAAATAAAATTGTAATAACTACAATGCAAAACAATAGAATATGCTGACTAGCTTAAACTTTCCTACGTAACAATATTACTTTGAAAAACAATAATATTTTATATCATTGCATTTGAATGTTATTCTGATAGGCAAAATAGTGTTCTTGTCTGAAAATGTGTTATAAATACTATTTAAACAATGTAAAAGGCCTAAAGATGAAAAGCAACAGTGGTAACCTTTTTAACAATCAAACAACAAAAAAACCAGATAATCTATCAATCCAAAGAATATTGTTAATGTAAGGAATGACAAACAGACAGAAAGTTTATTATATATATATATGTGTGTATGTTACTGTGAAAGACCGAAATTAGAGATTGTCAATATTCTCCAGTGAATGTTGACACCTACCAAATAAGTCATTGAAAGACCGAATATTTGGTTATATTATTATACATTCGAACCATCACCGGTATATGTCGACAACTACAGATAAGCTCTGGCAGAGGTTGAAACGACAAGGTGAGAAGACACAGCTAGAGAGAAGTGACAAAAACGCCAAATCGTTTGATATCTCTCGCCAAATCCTCTGTTACGATTGAGGTAATGTGGCATCTATTTGTTATACTTTCAAACATTCTGCTGTTTGTCAGTCATATGCAAGGTTTGCTGGTGCGTGCAACGTATGCTTAATTTTTATTTTTTTATCCGATATCCTAATTTATATTGAATGGGACTGCAATGAACCGTGGTTTTTTTTTTTTTTTTTGGAAAATTTTATGCATTAATTGCGAGTAAACAAAAAGATAACTGTTTTTATTTTTCTCAACAAAAGGACTGTAAAATATTTTCTGCTAAAATTAAGTGCAGTACACTTTTGGATTACAGATGATTAATTAAAAAGTTTTGACATTTTAAAAATTAATGATGAAGAGAAGTTAATTGTGCCATTAAAACCAGGAGAAACAGTGTTATGTTACCAATAATGAATTGTTCAGTATACTATCCGAAACTCACATCAGAATAGGCCAGGGAGGAAGAACACATATGTTTAAAGAACTGCAAGTTAAATACAAAAATGTTACATATGAAGTTGTAATGTTGTATTTAAATTTATGTAAACAATGTCAAATGAAACATAATGCACCTAAAAAATGTATTGTTGTTAAACCAATGGTCAGTTTGGAGTTAAACTCAAGACGTCAAGTTGATCTGATAGACCTGTAGTCACACAAGGATGGTGAATATAAGTTCATAATGGTATATCAGGACCATTTAACAAAGTTTGTCCAGTTACAATTTTTAAAAACTAAGATAGCTGAAAAAGTAGCATATCACCTTCTTCAAATGTTTTTAACATTTGGTGCCTCAACTACATTGCATTCAGATAATGGTAGGGAATTCAGTAATCGAGTCATATCCAAACTATGCGCAATGTGGAAAGGTGTTAAGATAGTTCATGGAAAGCTTCATCATAGTCAAACAGAAGGCTCAGTTGAAAGGGCCAATCAGGATATACAGCATATGTTAACTGCATGGATGAATGATAATGACACAAATAAATGGTCAGATGGTTTGCCCTTTGTTCAATTTGCCAAGAACACAAGATCCCATGAAGAAATACACCAAAGTCCTTATGAAACCCTGTTTGGCGTTAAACGAAAAGAGACAGCATCGTCATCTTTGCCTGGTGAGCAAATTGCAAATGTGAACCACCAGGAAGGGTAGGTCTCCCGATCAGGCAAAAGGTTGTTAAACCCTTTCACTGTCAGGATGACAGTGAAAGGGTTTAACAACCCTTTCACTGTCATCCTGACACTTTTCGAATGTAAACGAAAAGTGTTTTTTTTTTCGTTAGGTTTCACTTTAAGTTAAAGGAAAATTTAATTAGATTTTAAGCAAATACAGGACAATTAATCGACAAATAGTCGGCAAAAATTCCGGATTTCACACAAATATTGTAACCAAAGAACAGCTCTAAGTTAATAATAATTTCGAAGAAATATTTGAGCAATGACCATACCAAAAACCATATTCCAAAGGAAAATATTGAAGAGGAGCTGCAACCTACCACGTCTTCATATCAAGCCCTGGCTGAATAACACTAGTTTATTTCTATAAAAAGAGCGACTGCGAGAGAGAATCATCTACTGCAAGCAATGAAAATGCTACGAACTTCAAAAAGAAAATTTCCTCCTGCTCAAATTTGTGATACCAAGTCTCTGATGTTGACCGTGGTCGTACAGATGCCCAATCTATGTTGGCAGTTGTTGTTAGAATAGAAGAATCTGACTTTTATAATTAGTAATCGAAAATGGTACCCTCAAGCAGCTTTATACCCATAATCAGTTTGTAATTTGTAAAGAAAAGTTACCTTCCATAGATGAGATTTCTTCTCGAGAAATATTGCTGAGAGAAGC